CGTGACACTTACGATTGTGGCGGAAAATGAAGATGAAACCGATCTCAACTTTGCTGTCCTTCGCTTTTCAGTTGGTGCTGAGGTAAGAGAAGAGTAATCAAGGTTATTTCAGATTTTGATCAACAGTGTCGTATAAGCTGGTTGTGGGAAGAAAAATCCTTAATGTTGTCAGAAAGATGTTTTAAATGGTGACTCAATCACAGATACATACAGTATTTTAAATGAAACTGCAATTTTGAGACACAAGGTCTGCTAATAACAATTCACCACTGATATTTGCATTTTGTTCATGCTTCTACATTTGTGTGTCTCCAGGTGGATGATATTACCAGGCCAGTGTGCCGGGTGGTCCGTAAATTTGCCAATTGCCCAGCCGATTTGTCACGCTGTGGCTCTTCTCAGTGGATGTGGGTTGCCCAAGTGACCGACGGAGTCGATGGGACGGGAATTGACAGCATCGTTATCCGCGAAGGGACAGGCATGCTTCGTACGAGAACTTTGGTGGGGGAAGGGGGTGAAATCATCACCGAGGCCTCCTACCAGGCCTCCTGCTGTGAAGACAGAGTGGAGCTGTCTGTTCTAGACAACGTGGGAAACGTGGCTCTTTGCATGGGCCGGGTGAGACATTCTACCACAATAGCACTTGCACAAAAATGAACTATTGCATTCAAACAACTGAAGACTTTCGAAAAACATTTTAACACCCGATACTGAAGATGAGGAACTCTTTTAAAGTTGATTTTACAGACTGACTGTTTCATTGGAAACTAAGTAAGGCTTCATCAAGCCACACACACTGAATAAAACACCGCCCACTGAAAGACAAACAGGGCGGTATCAGAATAGTACAACACAACTGATAGTGTGCCAACCAGGCCACGGGCCTCAGAGAAAGAGCATATTTTCGTGAGGGAACCTCAAAACCTCTTGTGGTTACGGCAAGCGGTCGTTGTGAAAAGTACATCTACCTCTTAAAGGGACAAGAGCAAATTGGATACGAACAAAGAGAGTGATAAATAGACGCAACAGTCTCCTACTGCCTTTGCGTGGGGGAAATACGTCCTGACTGTTGTTTGCGCTTATGCACCAAAGAGTAGTTCAGTGTACTCGCTCTTTTTTGGAGTTCTCGGAGACGGTGCTCGTCACGGATTAGCCATAACAAACACCATATTCAGAGATAAGGGTGTCCACATCTGCACTTAAAATAGGGACACTTTAGGCTGCAGTTCAATAATCAATTAAAGAGCGGTAAAGAGAGAGGCGGAGCTGTCAACTGTTGGCTTCGATTGGAGGGGAAAACGCCAGCCTGAAATGGCAGATCCAAATGTTTTGTGAGACTCTGATGGGAACATCTAGCAGAATCCACTGTAAGAAAGAGCAGAACTTCACGGGGTAGGCGGGGTTCATTGAGTCAAACTACAAGGGGATACAGTTACATACTGTAGTTACATAATACATACCATAATCGTATATGACGAATAAGGTTGATAACAGGCTAAAAAGTTGCAGCTATTACAACAGTTTCCCTCACTATCTTTTGAAATGAGGATACTGGGACGGCACTCACACTGAAGTTTTACCACAAGGGTCCGTCCACTGGAAGACCCAAAGCACATCATGTATTTCTAGACTGTTATGACACACCCACTTGAGCTTATTCATTCGCTTTCTGTAATCCAGGTGAGTGATGTTCTCCCTCCGATGTGCCAGAAGGTCAGGACATCCACCTGTCCATCCTCTTCATCGCCTTGCAACTCCTCTCAGTGGGTGTTTGTGGTCAATGTGAGTGACAGCATCAATGGAGTGGGCGTCGACAACGTCACCATTCGTGCAGGCAACGGCACCCTCAACACAACCACAGTGGTCAGGCCAGGGGGCGAGAACATCACCGTGGCCTCCTACCAGGCCTCCTGCTGTGAAGATAGAGTGCATCTGTCTGCTATGGACAAGGCCGGAAATGAGGTCATTTGCATAGGCCAGGCTATCCGAGAATCCACCACAGTTGCACCTTTGACGACAACAACTAACATTTTCACAGGCAATGGAGGGCACGCATTTCGCACGTCACATTGTCTCTGGATAAATCTTGTCTCACTCGCACTTTGGAGATGAAACTAATTGCAGTGTTCCCATACGATTTGCAAACCGTAAAAGGGCTTATAATTACTCGTAGATGGTGTTAAGTCACTACTTGATGGTCCTCAACCCACGTCAATATAATTTTTATGCACTAATGTACTACAGGATGGCGCCAAAGCAATGTTTAACGAGACAGCACTTTGGTCTGAGCACGAAACAGCCAATAGGGTAGTTGATTTTTGGTTTTTTTTTCTTTTTCCAGCAAATAACTGAGAATAGAGTACCCCCCCCCAAAAAAAAAAATCAGTGGAAAGGTGTAGGAACACTGTACATCAGTTGGAGGAAACATATCTGGTACTTTGAGCATTTGTATCTAGTTATTTATGGATATAGGTGTATGCAGTTACAGTTGAGTTAGTTCGTCTATCAGGAAATCAAATTATCCGATATTGTGTTTTGATTTGGTGTGTAAAAGTACATTGTAATAGCAGTAGTTCTAGTCAAGTTGTGAAAGTGTAACTTTAACCAACGCATGAATTATGGAATGAAAAGAGACATTAGAACTAACTAACGTCTCTGGTAAGTTATGACGATGTTGATGATGATTGGAATGGGAGGGGGGGGTGGGGGAGGGGCAGATGGACCAGTTAGAGATTGTATGGGAAATAAGTTTAAAATCTAAATATGAATATAGCATTGTAAATGGCAAGCATGATCACAACCTCACAATAACGATACCTCAGTGCTCTGGCGGATCTGCAGATTGGAAAGGGGTGGCGGCACCCACCTCCACTGAACCCTTTGCCACTCCAGTTGCCACCTCTACTGTTGTCAATGAATCAATCAATGATAAATTAACACATCCATTCCCAAACCACGTGTGAGCGCATTTTTTTTTATTATCCAAGCGTTTTATACTCCTGCTTTTTTTTTTTTTTTTTTAAATAATTGAGTTTTTTATCCATTGGAGACCCTGGGACCGAGCCAATGTGTTGCCCAAGGCGAGATTTTATTTGGCGGCCCTCTCCATCGACGATTTACATACGCTTACAAGATAAGCTGAATTTTTAACATTGCCTTTAACTACCATCCATCCATTTTCTAATTCGCTTATCCTCATGAAAACTTCTTTGGCAAAAACAAGAATCTGAAGAAACCCTTTCTCTAGTGGTCTGGTATTTTGTGTGGGAAGAGCACCATACTTCTTTGACGCATTCCGCCAATTGAGCTCAGCACTGCCACCTGCCAGGAGCAGCACTGTGCTGTCAGGGCTCCACCGTGCATGTCCATCCGCCAATCACAAAGACTTACCATGTCACACACATTCATCTAATATATTAGACAGACTGTTGAATGTCAGCATGCCCAGTGCATGAGTGATAAAAACATTAATGTGTCATAAAACATTTATATTGCCGATAGGAAGCCAAACAGCAATGCCTCTTGTCTGAGGGAACGGGCCAATAACTTCCTGCATTGATTAATGTGTGTGTAGTCTCTTGAAGCACAAAAAGCGCGATGACTCTTCCTTTCTTGGCCATACATTTGAACAGGAAATATAAAATTCAGCTGTTTCAATGGTGAAATATTTGATGTTATTGGATTGAAAAAGAAAATCAATGTACCGGTAAATCTCCAGACCAGAGAACTAAAATGGATTTTTTTCTTTTAACTCTTCGCATGCAGGGGAGGGGACGGGGAGCCTCTACCTCCCCTGCCTGTCCTGAGTGCAGTTCCCTGAACCACTGGTTTCAGAACCATTTATAAAATAAAATTATCTTTGTTTTTCTGCAAAAGCGACAATGTGGTAAATCTGATGAAAAAAAAAAAGGAAATCTTGTGATTACGTAATACATGTTATGTTGCCTACCAAGACTAATTAAAGCTGTAAAGCAAACTTTGAATTTGGGAATGCCTGCCAGCTGCCATATTCATTTAGGTTGAAGCAACAGAATGCAAATGTCAAGACAGAACAAAGAATTGTGCATCAAATAGTTTTTTTTATTGTTATAATTTTTATTATTATTATTTATCTTGCTCTGAATAGTAAAACAATAACTACTAAAGAACCCGGTGAAATATAACAGATACAATTATCAAAGTGGAAGAACTCAGCAACTATCAGATCAACAATTTTGGGGGCATACTGCACAAACCAGAAGTGAACAAGAATACACAGTACTTCATTCATTTACAGCTTCTAGTTTGTGGGACAGGTCCCAATTGTCAGGGTAAGCATGAAAACAAAATTGGAGCAGAAAAAAAAAAGCTGGCTCCTTTAAAATGACTTAATCCTTCAAGTTCAGCCACAAAAAAGGTTCACCACAGAGCACAACTTGAAAAGTAAAAAAGTAAATCACCTCACTAAAAAGAAACCCTTTTACAAAAAAAAAAAGCAGCTACTATCATACGAAGTGCACCACGACCACCGGGAGCGTCACTCAATGGAAACTTAAGAGAAGGCATTCATCTTAAAACACTGATTCCTTCTTCGATACAGACATGTTCATGAAGCTGCCGACCGCATCACGTGACAAAAAGACCCTTCTGTCTATTTAAAGACTTTGTTACAACAGTGAAGCATCTCTGAACACATTCAATGTAAGGAAGTTCCTCTACTAATCAATAACAACAGATTTCACGTTACTCTTTTAAACAGAGCAGACCATTTTACATCGTTTGAATTTTTTTTTTTTAAACTGTAACAGCTCATGATAAGATCAAGTGTATCCCTGATGAGAGGCGGTAAATACCAGTTGTCTGTGTACTCTTTACAAAAGTTATATAAGATGATTTAAGACAAAAGCTGCAGTTAATGATGAACAAATTCCATTTTGTTTGTTTTTGTTGAACAAAAGCAAGTCAGAAACTGTACAGAATACTAAAGAGATTTTATGCCAAGTAAGACAGCAATAAGGCTCTCAAACGCGCATGGGATGTCAATCGCAAAACCAATAACTCAATGGAGAGAGGCATAAAAAGAGAAATTGAATAGCAAGTTAGCCCTGACACATACAAACAAACTTCAAATGATTTATACCCTGGAGAGACTGAGCTAACTTAAATGTTTGTAAGATAAGATAAGATAAGAAAACCTTTATTAGTCTCGCAATGGAGAAATTCCCAATACACAGCAGCAAAGTTATGAAAGGAAGAAGTAGAACAACAAAATATAGGAGCTGCTGGAAAGGCAGTGATCTTTTAGTCGACATAAAAAAGTGGAAAAAGCCTGTAGGCCGTTGCATTAAGAACATGATTTAATCCAGGCATATGGAATGTTCTAAATGTACAGTTGATTAGAATGCTCTGTATTATGGTCACAGAAAAATTGTGAGAGATGTGAATTATTTTCAAAAGGAATGAACCACTGAGACAAGCACACTTTGTCATTTGCTACTTTCTTGTGTCATTTCCGGCCAGAAGATCTTCAACACATGCAAATTCACTTCAAATGTTTCTGAGGTCAGAATCATTTGGGGCATTAAGTGCATGTCTCATGATGCCAAGCTCAGCTTACCGCACCATGTGACGCTGTAGCCCACGTGCGGATGAGATCACAGGACTCGAGTGGGATTTCATACTAAGAGTACTGCATAAATAACAGCAAAACACACTTTAGCGGCTAAATGCTGTGTCTTAGCATGTGCGCCATGTTCGGTGAGGCAAATGCATTCACACAAAATTGTCCAGTTCATGGGTATTGTGATTACGCTTTCTTTGTATGATTACCTGCTAAATTCTCTTCGCCATTCTCAAAAACTGTGGTAGAAAACAGGTCGATAAAGGCCATGGGAATGTGATAGATTTCAAGTGCCGATATATGCTGGATTCCATGTACTGTGTGACAATGCAGCTGTGGCATGCAGAGGCACGGAGTTGAAGTCTTTTGTCGGCTTGTATTCTCTTACATGCTTACAATCTCGCTCAAAATGTCTTTAATATAAAATGATAGTATTGAGGCATTCACTATTTTCATAGAATTGAATCATCAAATGCAGTGAGGCGTGCAATCTGATAACTGCATATGCAAACATCCTTCTTGTGATATACGGTACATAAGGTAGCAACATTCCATGCAGCATATAGAAGCACTTTGTCTTAACTATTCAATAACTCCCTGTAAATAATACTGTTTGATGTTCATATTGTCTCTTTTCATTGAAAAGTAGGCATCTGCACATTTATTAGTTTATTCCATTGAGAAAAGATGTTCTTGGTTTTTTCCCCTACTAATGGATACTGTACATAGTTTTCATCGGGTAGAGACAATATAGTGACCACTTGGGTTACATGGCAGTAGAGAATGATTCTTCGCTCAATCACTCGTCAGACGACACCGACGCAATTAAATGCAGGCTAAAGTTTCTGCTCTGCGAAGAAAGCACATTCTCAAGTAAGCTTGATGCACATGCCCCCATCTTGAGAGAGAGCTTTGAAGTGAACCTGCCCTCCACTTTTCCCCCCCTACGCAATACGACAAAGTGATTTGATGAAGTCGCTTCACATTTACAGTACTGTACAAAAGCCGCCTCAAACAATTGTTGTTTTAATGACCTCTTTCACAACAATTGTGCCTTGTACAGTTAGCGAGGATTAACCCCCTCACCCCTGCAAAAAAAAAAAAAAAAAAAAAGAAGAAAACATACAAAAACGACTCCCAAAGAATTTCTAGAGCGACGGGTCAAGTGACCCATTAAATCTTGGTGAGACTGTATAAAGGTACTGATTGATTATCGTTACTCCTCACTACAAAGGAATTGACGGAACTGTCTTGAACCAGGAAGTAGCCTGTTGTCTAACGAGAGCGAGAGTTTTGTAGAGCACTGTGTGCCACATGAGCCGTCCAAGCATCCACACTGACCAAGAGTTCAGGTACGGTTATACTGTCATGCCAAGATTGCCTGTACTTAATGGCTTTACGACGCATAGGCAAATTTAATGATTGTAAACATTTTGAGGGTTCAGTATTCGAAGGTATAGGCTGTGTTGGAATATAAAACGTCGCTGTTTGGCAACAAGCAAGGAGAGGAAGGTTACGTGACATCTATAAGTAGAAGAGTGGAGACCTGAGGTATGAACACTGATCTTGTCATCCTTTCTCTGCGTATTAAATTAAACGAAATGATGATAGCGTAGGGCCCTAAAAACATAACTGTGCAGCCTCTCTGATGTTACTGCACTTTGTGTTATGACTAAATACAAAAGGAAACCAGTGATTCTGCGGCGCTAGTATAAGGCATCTATTTCTTCTAATACCAAGTAAGGAAAACAAAGGAAATGGCAAATGCAAAGGAGCTCCGTTCAACAAAATAATGATGAATCCTCTGAAGTGGAAGTGAAGGTCAGACAAATCAGGATTTGAGCCCAAGGAGTTTCTTATAGTGGGCCGTTTTCGACTAAAACCTGAAAAAAGCCATTTGTGTTGTTTTCACCATTCTTTTGAGAACATTACGAAAAGTAAAAATTGTGTCTCAAACTGTCAGATCATTGTTCACATGACATCATCAACACTGAAAAATTGCTAAGCTAATTTTTTACATTCTTAACAACAAGAGCAGATCATAGGAATAATTATGCATGTGCACGTATCGCTCAAAATCATGAGCTTGATAACAGCTCCAGTGAGGTGTGAGATGCGCTTTAAGACAAGTCATGCATGGTACTGTCCTGGCATGCCAAGAATAGTGCTGTGTGAATGGGGACAATTTTGTTGTCTTCATGTTTGAAGGAAAAACAAACAAAAAACTTTAATCAACCTGCAAAAGTACGCTAAAATCACAAGGGCTTATTTTTTAATACTCAAAGCCTGACAATCTCTCATTGGGAATTCCGAAAGAGTGTGAATATTTGGAGGTTAGACTAAACTGAATGAGATACTGGAAAAGCAACAGACCATAAGTGCGGGGAAGACATTCAGAGAAGTCCATCTACTGTTCTCCCATCTCAGCCAGATTGGAGCTGGAGGAAGGCAACGTAGAAGATTGAAGGTGATTCAAAGACGGAAGTGGGCCGGTAGCGGATCCCTGCTGCACACCGCTCGGAGACGGCTCAGGAAGAGTCAGGGTTTCTGGAGCTGACTTTTTGCGGGGCCGGTCCTTGGAGACCGAGAGGGAATCGGGCGCATCGGTGCACAGGGGAGTGGAGGGGGCGCTGGCGGGGCCGGTGAGGGAACAGGAGGACAGAGGGGTCTCGCTAATGGAGATCGACGGTGGGAACATCCCGATCTTCTGGTTGGTGGCTTCCTGGATTGTCCGCTCAAATTCTCTCACCTCATCCATTGTCATGTCTGGGTTGAGAAAAGAAGAATTGACAACAGTGAGGTGTTTGGTGAAAACTAAACTGAAAGAAGCTGAGTGAAAGTGGCACAAAACAAACCGACGGTAATATTTTGTTTCTTTTTGTATGATCTAACTGGATTTGGATGTTCTCAAGCAGAACACAAATATTTCTTTGTGAGGATAAAAACAAGTGGGGGACCATAAAGATCATCACAGATTAAGGGTTCAAAATGAGCAAAAAGTGGAACGATGGAGTGAAACAAAAAAACAAAAAACAAACACCAAAAAAAAAAAAAGAATGGAAAAGCCACATACGCTTGTTTTGTCATGGATGTCTATGGCATCCAGTGAAGATGGATTTGTTGTGGAATGCTCTGCCTGTTCATGGCAAACCTTAATGTTGGTTTGCTCATGCATTTTGCTCTCGTAATTCCGGACGTCATCCCAAGTCATATCTGGAAGAAGGAGGAAGGGAAGGAGCAAAACTGATAACTCCTCTCAAAAGGCACTCCGGTCAGGTAGTGGAAGGAAGGAGATGAAAGTGGCAAAAATGCATTGCGCAGAAAGCTTAACTAGAGGACTAATGTGTAAAAGGACAAGCATCCCAAGTAGAAGAGCCACACGGAAGATTTTCAAGATGCAGACAAAGCACAAAGCCCTGAGTCCAAGGATGAAAGCTGGGATGGGTGTGGTGATTCTCCAGCCAAAAGAAATCCATATGTTAAGATTAGCAGGGGCAGGGAGGGTAGGTGAGTGGAGAATGCACAAGCACTGCAGACTGAAGTGTTAAAAGTCATTCCAAAAGGATAAACTCAGTTCGGGAGGTGGAGGACGGGTAGCTGTATGGTTAACATGTGAGGGTTGCAGGTAAGGTAGAAAGTACATGCACATTAATAAACAATAACACTTCTGCAATATTCATAATAGATGTTTAAATATCTGCCTAGTCTCATACACGATATGGAAAAAAAAGTTTTGGGACCCAAAGCCATTACACCCTCAATACGTGCCATTAGTTTCTCCATGTGGACATAACAGCTTCCACACTTCCGGATAAATTGGTCAAAGATGATATTGCCAGATTCACAGTCATGCATAGAAGGAGTCAAAAAGGGTCTACCCTAAACTATACCCACAAAGTTGGAAGTATACAGTAGAACTCTTCAAAGTGTTTAAGAAGATGAAAGATTTATATTTATGGGAGACAAATGGGTCTTACTCAGGCCCTTGATTGATAACTAATAAAATCACATTTCAATTCAGTTACCGGTAAGTTTTTGCCACTAGAATGAGCAAGTACACTAATTGTGAATTCATGCACTTGTGTACTGGAATGTATGAGAAAATCCAGTCGCTCAGTAAGACCTTTAAAAGTGGCCGATACGGCCTCTGTATTATACCATGATTCACTGACCTACTCTCTTTTCCAATACTTTTGCCTATATTGTACGCATGAAATCTGTAAGCATTATCCTCATCATAGAAAAGATGACATTTTGGAGCCTGAAGGCCGACTGACCCACCAATCCATTCATCCACCCAAGCAAAGGCCTGCCTGTGTCCAAGCAGCAACACATCCCGTATCACCTGCAACACAGAAACAGTTTTGCTGAGGAATGTTGTGAAATATGCCCTCGTTAATCTTCAAATTTACAGACTTCAAAGTTGAAAAGCACGCGGGCATTTGCAGCATATGTACAATTACCTTACGTATGTTGTTTTGTTTGATACTTTGGATGGTAAGCAGATTACATTCTCATGCAGCCAAACTAGCATGTTTGAATATTTGTTTTAGCAATAATCACCGCCAATGAAGCTCTGTTTGTTCAACCTACTTCCTTGTTGGTGGAATGATTTCTAAACCTAATTTGACAAAATGTTGATTCTGACCTTATGCACAAACTGTTCCACACGTGTCTGCAGACCCCACACCTCAAACTTGACTGTGACCAGTTTGTACGAGCACATGATGGGATGCTGCGTGTCCCTCCATCCTTCCTGAAGCATGCCCCGCGACGTCTTCTCTGACTTGAAGTACCGCAGGTCCTGCATCGGTGCATTACAAACACGTTTGTTGCGATGAATACAACAGAGGGTGAGGCAGTCTGAGTGTGTTTCAAAATTATTTTTTAATGAGACTCAATGCAATGAGAGAGACTAGCAACACATCCTAGAGGGAGAGCACCATTAATGAACAGCTCATTGTTTGTATGGAGCGTTTAGCCCAGAGTTAGGGCAACTTTGGACTTAAATTGTAAATTGTAGAGTGACGCTTCAGTGTAAAGCTGCAAACAGTTTGAAAATTGCAAAACTCCCCCTTTAAAATATCGATTCATACATTAGGTCAGCAAAAAAAACAAAACAAAACAAAAAAAACCAAGTAATCACTTGTATTAAGACTGAGAAATGTCCATATCCACATTATCTGAAGAGTCATGTCAAATGTTTTAAATGTATAGTAGTCGATTAGAAGACTCTCCATTAGGCTCGAGGTTACCATGGGCCAAAAGATTTTGTTTCAGATAAAACTGGCCACTAAAAGTGAAAGGATGGATCATTTTCAAAATGTCAACTGTAATGAACCTGGTGAATATTTTTCATTTGTGACTAACACGATGTTTAACGGTTTTTTACCACTTTCTTGTGTAATTACCAACGACAAGATGCTGGTAACAGACACAACACAAGGAAAACGCCCACCTCACCTCTGACTCCTTGTAGTAGCGGTCAGGGATGTCGTCGTAAGCAATGTCGACAAAACACACTTCCCTCTCCTGGTCCTTCAACTCAGAGTCAAAGATCTATTTAAAACAAATACTTGAGTTGACCTCAGTGAATATGACGACAAAACAACTCAAAATTGCTTTCGAGAAAGGATCAAGGGTCTGACCTTTCAACGTTGCGTACGCACAAAACGAGGTCTGAAAGCTGCGCAAATTTTCAGATTTTGTACGTAGACTTTTAGTTTGTATTCTACGCACTGTTTGATACGTGAGACCCCAAGGCTGGACTGTGTGATCATATTGTCAACACCAGACATACCCGTTAGGGGGCAGTATGTCCACGTTTATTTCCGCACAATTACCTTCAGCGCTTCAATGACAGTGATGACACTGACACTGATGCGCCACAACAATAAAAATGCTGAACGATTCAGTGTAAAGTCAAATACAAGGGTCCTGCAATAAATTATTTATTCATGCAATAAATTATTTATTCATGGACTCTGCTCTTCACTACTATTTGTTATGAGCATAAGACCTTCCAATGGTCACCAAATAAATCACACGGTACTCTGTCACGATAAAGTAGGGGTTGGGTGGTGCGTATAAGTGGGAAGACTGTGTGTGTGTGTGTGTGTGTGTGTGTGTGTGTGTGTGTGTGTGTGTGTGTGTGTGTGTGTGTGTGTGTGTGTCTGTGTTGTGTGTGTGTCACTCAGTCTCCTTTCCGCAAATTAAAAATGCAATTTTCTAGGCAACTTGTCTGTCATTGGGCCAAACCTCTGTCCTACATGATGCCACACAATGCTTTTACCAATGTGTGATTCCACCACAAAAGAGGATAAGAAATACCAAGAAGGAGAAGTGTTCATATTCCCATAGAACCAGTAAAGGAATTTCTACCTGCAGTTCCTGGAACTTAAAGATTTCACTGAGAAACTCAGCAGTACAAACCCCACCCCAAAGGTTCAAGGACATTTCAAATCTATAACATGGGGTCTTCTTGTCCTTGTTCTTGTCTCCTCGGCCCCGGTAAATTACCCCAGAACAACATTTAGACAAACTGAAATACAAATTGGTTAGAAGAGGAAACCAGGCTATATGTGTCTTTAGCACAGTTTAGGAACAGTGTCGACATTATGCTGTACATCATCTTAATCTTTCAAGGAACAGCATTAATCCTTCAGTATACCTCGAGGGGGAGATTACAGCAGACTGTTAAATTTTTATACACACATACACGAGGGATACTCATGCCAACAAGTTCGGCAATTTCTTTGGCAGACTCAAATCCCACGGAAAGTGATCTTCAATAATAGAAATGGCTCATGCTGTGCCAAATCTTATGACATATAATGTTACGTACTTTAAATTCAGGGTGCACTTACATTATCATTGATGCCTTTGTTGTCCTCGTATTTCGTCTCTATGTGAATGGAGAACTTGGGAAGGAACGAGCACTGTAATAATGGGGGTGGGGGGATGGGAGGGGAGCAACAGACTGTATTTAAACATGTGCAAGTCGACTTAATTTGTTACTTTGCTCTATAATTCACATTGCTGTTTTACATTTGAACTCTGGTTTATGAATTATAACATTAAAGTGACTCGTAAGCTAAGCGGTGCTTTAAAACTTTATGGTACTGATGAGAAGAGATGCTGCAGAAGATGCTGTAACCTTAAGCTTGAATGCATTTTGGCACAGAGTCACTTGACAGAGTAAATTCAGCCTTCATGTGTCAACACTGACACATGCATGGCAAATTACTCCCACACTTAAATAAATATCAGGCATTCTGTCACTGTCTTGTCACGGTCTTATTTTCCATCCCATAAATGGCTGTGACTCATGGTGTTGACATTTCTCATCGACATAATAGACATCCAGAAGTAAGGAGAAGGCCAATATTACACCGTGATTTTTCAATGCTTCTATCAATTAATCACACTGCCCTCTTTGTTAACAGTGTCATTATTTCAATCAAGTATCACGTTATTTTGGAGGGGAAATGATAACTTCAAAGTAATGTTGTAGTAAAAGTTAGAAAATAGTGAGTCAGTCTTCTCCAAGGACATCTGTACTGTATGTTCGAGTTTAAGTTATTTGCAAGCATATTGAAGGTTGTGTAGAGGAAAAAAATATATTTTAATTGAATGCCGCTGATGTGTTTAGTTTCTAAAGACACACCTAACAAGCACGCACGCACGCGCTCTCTCTCTCTCTCTCTCTCTCTCTCTCTCTCTCTCTCTCTCTCTCTCTCTTTTTTTTTTTACATTCATGCACAAGTAAAAGATCCAATTTGATACATGTCCAAAAATGGTAGAAAATATACTTACTGTATATTCTACAGGGTGAAGAATACACATCGGGTCATGTCCAGAAATGCACAAAAACAAAAGAGAAAATTAAACACTCACAGCTTCCCAAATATCTTAAAATATGATAACCTGTAATTTGATAACATAAATGAATGAACAGTTTGCTGAATACATGTTCATATTTTAACGCTGCTTGCCAACTGAGGCCGAGGGAGGAACCCAGGCTGCACAAGTGTGACTTGTGGTGCCATCGCTGAGTCACCATCACTCTAGTCGTTGACTGTCAGCATGGCATTCAAGCGTGCACTGTCTGTTCTATGGGCTTTTCTCTTAAGGTACCTTGTGCACAGGTACTGTAGTTGGCAGCTTTATCGTAGCACTGGGGCATGCGCCGTATAAGCAGTGTGGCTCAATAAATGAATACTATAACTCGTAATCATGTCATGTCACCAAGGAGGGTTCTGTTTTTATTGGTGTGGGTTTGTCCATTTCCTAGTCTACTGTTTTATGTAAGGCAGCATGCTGTGGAGTTTAGATGTTCCCCTCTATGCTCGCGTGGGTTTTCTCCAGGTAGTCGTCTTCCGCCCACATTTCAAAAACGTTAGCCTAGTTGTGAATGTGAGCATAAATGGTTGTTTCTATATATGTGCCCTGCAGTTGACTGGCAACCAGTCCCCTGGTTGCCAGTCAACTCTCGCCAAATGTCAGCAAGAAATTCCAGCCCACACCGCCACTCAAGTACAACTACAAACATTTGAAGAACCCGTGCCGGTTTTCGTTTTGAGTGGCAATTTTCGGGTCGTTGAATATTTTCGTTCAGCAACAAACGCGTCCGAGAGATTTTGTCTGAAGGCGATTGAATTTCAACCAGGCATCTCAAACAGATGGGTGATAATAAATCTAATTTTGGGTGTGGCTGGAGCAAGGCAGCAAAGTTGGACTTTCTCAAAGTTCATATTCTTTGATTTCTGTAGAGGAGGCTGATTATTTTTGCATTCAGTCAAAACAAGACATTTTCAAACATTTGCTTTTATTTTGGAGAACAATGATCAACATTTCCCCCTATATTCTGACATGGTTTGGACTAAACCAAAAACTCAATGATCGTCAACTCATGGAAAAAAGTAATAATCAGTTTAATCTATTGCATAAATGAACTGTATTTGCAGTCACAATAGGAATAAGCTAAACTTGACATGTAGTTGAACCTGAAACCGAGAAGTGTAGCGCCTCTCATTAAACAATTGCCAAGAAGTCGCTCTCAGTTTCAAAAACGTTGGCGAGTACACCACACCCACTTCAGGGAAATTGTTGTTTATTTTGATTAATCGATGGAATAACTAACAGTATCATCAATTGTAAAATTATTTGATGGTGACAGCCCTAATTCAATATAACTCATTTTCCAGTAGCATATGTTTGTTTTATTTTCAAAGGTCACCGAATTAATAAAACACTGTCTAATTGCCATATATTAAATAAAAATTTATCCTGCAAAGGGAAGCATTTCAAGTGAGAGTTCGTATTGTTTGTGCAACAGCAGTCTGCACTTTCCCACTTTGAGTACCAAACACTGTCGCTTCCTGTAAGGTGAAACCAAAGGCTGTGTCATTGTTAAGTGTACACGCGGAAGTCACCTTCAAGACAGTAAAAGTCAAAGCAGATGCTGATGGTTGTAACATGCAAACCTGTGATGGTGTAAGGGTAATAGTTCCACGCCTTCTCGGTCACGTAAAAGATTTTCGGAACCACTGCTCGAGCCCAGCTGGGAAGTTTACTGCAGAGACAGAAAGCCATGAGGTGCTGCTGAAGCAGACTTAAGGCTCGAGTAGCTACTGTAATCAAAGCAGTCGTCTTATTCTACTGGCTGACAGCACAGATTCGTGGATTCCAGAATTGTGACTTCCAAAGTTGCTCGGAGACATGCACAGAGGTTTTTGCCAGCTCTGTGCAGTGTTTAGGTTCTTTTCAAAACACAAACAATCAGGCATAACAATGAAAATTCAAAGTGTAAAAGATTATTTTTTTGAAAATGGTTCCAAAAATCACTGACATAATTCAAAACTATAGACACGCAGAGGAAGACACGCAGAGGAAGACAACCATTCGCGCCGGCAGACCACTTTAAGTAATTACCCCACAAGTTTTTTGACTGCAGGAGGAAAACGTCTGAAAATAACAGTCAATTGTGCTGACTTTTAGAAGTTTATGGGCGACACTCTCAACTAAATTAACCCGCAGCGTGGTGGATTTGCTTGAGCTGTGGACTAAATACTCCACTGTTTATACACACACACACACACACATACACACACACATTAATACACACACACACACACACACACATACACACACACATTAATACACACACACACACACACACACACACTTCATTCTCACGAGATCTAATAGTGCAAGGGCTGTGTATGAAATACTGTAACTTAATGCTGACAAAGATTTTGTGTGCAATGCAGAGAGTTATAGAATAAAATAGATATACAGTATCATGCAAAACAAACAATGAAAGCTGCTTCGCAATAACAATCTGTATCCCCAGCGTTAACTCAAATCTGCTTCCACAAAAAAAAAAATAATAGAAAAGGGTTTTCTTTAGAGAAAATAGGAAAATAATGTGACTATTTCCTTTTGGAAGAAATGTCCCTTTTGTCAAAAAAAAAACACCAACAACAACAACAAAACATGTACCCCTATGTTAACTTTTTCAAAGTTCTACAATTTACCAACATAAAATAAGCCATGAAACTGTCTGGCTCAATGAGTTCACAAGGGCCATACTGTCTCCAGGTCTCGCATGGTCGTTTTTTTTAAGCAAAGTTGTACAGGTGAGGCAAGGCGATCGTGGCAAAATATTTGGGGCAAGTTCCAAAAAGTGGGCATTATCTGTTGTACTGGATCTAACTAAATTTGCACATGACTATATAGTGGCTAATGTCGCAAATGTACCATGCTTCCATCTGCACTTCTCTGAATGACAAGGACACCGACTGTGAATCAAAAGTCATACGAAATTAATGCATAAAATGTAGTGCATGTATTGGGTATTTCTCCCTCGCGCCAGACACTCCGCCTACACCTTCAGCTGTTGATTTCCCCCATTATTGTGGTTTACTCTGTTAAATATGTCTGCCAGGAACTGGGAGGCAAAGCCAGCAAGTGGGGAGAGTGGATTTTACTGCTTAACTCATATCCCACAAACGCAATATTCATCAGAATGCCATGTTTAGACTAGTGGAGGTGCGGACAACATAGTATTGTAAAGACAATTTTGGAGTTGACTTCCCCTCTAACACACAAGGACTACTCCATTTCAGAAAGATTTGGAATCTGTCCATCAGCATTGTTCAACATTTGGCATCATTGACTTATTTACATTTAAAGTGTATTTACTTTGTCTTTATTTTTACGTATTGTGCTATTGGAAGTAATTTCCATTGAAAATAATATTGGATGGAAGTAGATGAATGGAAACGACTCCTTGAGCTTTTACTTTGCTCCTGCAGGGTAGCACTGTGCCGAGTCAGCATGAATGGTCCGCCTGCATGGTGAATGCTGACACAGGTGATTGTGCTCCGATCAGTCGCCGGCAACGTCTCTGTCCATCTCTTTTCTCTCCTCTCTCCTGCTGTTGTTCTCTCCTTTTCCATCATATACGGTACTTGACTGGTTTAATGCATGTTAAACTTTACGGATTAAACTGTATCACAGAGTAGATCACTGTCTTTTTGTTTATCCTCTGTAATTACCTGCACAACAGGGATTTTTTTTGTTTGCAGGATTGTGCAAAAAACAATTTATCCAAATACTGCACACAACAGTGTGATTGTGTGCGACGCATCCAGTCTCTCGGCATAAGTTGGAAGGCACTGTCTTCCGATTGGTCGATGGTGAAGAACGACATAGGACATGTCATACTATGCGGCAAGACGAAAAAAAATTCTGCCTTGCCAGACTTTCGTCGTCGTGGTCGTGAAGCGTCCTGGAGTGTATATTAGAGTGAGTGACACTAGTTCAGAAAAATATATGTATCACACATATCAGGGAAAACACATTGAGGATCAAGGACTTCTGAAAACAGTAATACACAAGTGACAACCAACGGTGAAAGAAATACGCTGTCATTTTTTTCTACACGACAACTGCAAGTGAGTTATGAGGGGTGGAAGCAACTGACCTGTTGAGGTAGACCCGTTTTTCTGTGAACTGCCCCTGGCCGTGCATGGGGTCCTCAAAAGGTTCGTTCTGGACAACTTCCACACCTTCCCCTCGGTCGCTCTGCTCATGGCTGTGTTTGCTGATCATGTAAAGCTGCCCAATACGGTACTGGAAGATGGAAAAAGAAAAATGTTACCGGGAAACACTGCAACATGTCTTGGTATGGTTGGTCTCAAACAGATAGAACAGAAAATATGTGTTGTTTGATGGCTAATGACTGGCGGGCTACTGTCGAGCAAAACAAGGCACTGGTGTTACTGGTTGTCATGGACAGACCAAAAGCCTGCAGAAAGGCGGAGGAACAACAACAAGCAAAGCAGCATCTGACATACCACATGGGACACTTTCACTGCGTCTGAAGCTGCTACAGTAAAATCAGAGTCCGCCCACCTCTTCGTCCATCGCAGGATTATCATGCATACTTTTAGGAGTGAGAATAAGGATGACTGTCTCCTCATAATTTCAAGACCGATTTTATTTATTTGCAGAAACATTTCATCCACTTGAAGGTCACCCAATGTTTGAATTGCTCAGTTTCAACCATGTTTTTCTCAAATGATTCGTCAGGTAATCATCTACAAATGTTTTAGTTTTATCTGATATAATAATGTGAAGATTTTTATCTCCAGTATACTGTGTGGAATTTGACCATTCTCCCTTTCGACTGGGAGCCAAGACCGAAATTAGGACAAGCGGTATAGAATACGGACGGATTGATTTGTTTTCAGTCACATGCTTTAAAGCAGCAAGGGCTGGAGGCCTGAAGATGGAAATTTAAAGCCAGCACACTCCCACTGCTGCTCTCTTTCTCTCTGACCTTTACCTGGCATGTAGCTGTGCTGGGAAATGCTGTCAGAGGGGAAAGACTACGCAGTCATCTGAAATACATTTAAATACGTGCCAACTCAGCACCCGCCTCGGTTTCATATCACTCAAGCAATTTATTCACAGTTTCGGACAAAGATCAAGACAACAAACGCCTTCAGGTCCAGCCGGCCATCGGATGATGACGAGAAATGTTGCAGAATCAAGCAAACACTGCAGCTTACTCGAGCGTTGGCTGCGGTATTACCCAAGTGTACAAATGAAACATCCACTTTTCACTTTTACAAAGCCCCACAAAAACAATGAAGGCGTTTCTAAAAGCAGCTGTGGCAAGAGTGACCGTGCCAACCACAGAGCAACAGTGAATAATGTAGTCGAGCTTGACTCTCTCTTCTTCAGGCCACATAAGAAATGAGGGATTGAAGGACGCTGATGCAGAGGACGAATTAAGGGTGAGAACACAGAGCAGAGTTGGCGAAACAAAAATAGCATGACATCAGCCCCATTTCATCAAGACCTCAGCAGTTCCTGCTGGTTATCGATTCAGATTTCCAAAATCGATTCCATTCACCGTTCACTTTGATTGATGTTCGATTCTGTCAAGGATGTCACGTACCAATATTACTTTCATACAGAAGACATTCTCAGAAGAAGCAATGCTACAAACAGTCAAAGCTTCTTGGTCTATTGGTGCATAAGTAAAAATATGAATATTGACATTAAGAATTGAACCCAAACTAGTAACAAGAATCATGTATGCCTTATTGAACATGACCTGATCAAAACAATAAATAATCATTTAAATCAATTTCAACCACAAGGTAGGCTGTGTAAATAAAGTGGTGAAAACACATTATGGCTCATGACATTCACATTCCTATGACTGTCTTACAACGTTTCAGTTTACTGCTGTCTTTGTGTTCCTTTAAAAAAAAATAATAATAATCTGCCTTCAAGCTTGGTGCCGCTAATTTCAAGCGCTTCGGCCATCTTGTTATGATATGCTACGCTCGCGTTGTGACGAGAGCTTGTGTGAGGCAAGAAGTCACATTAATTTATTGGGGACAAGATGTATTAAAAGGATTGATTTATGGTAAGAATCGATATCGGGCTATAAAAAGGAAAATGGATTTGATTTGGTGAATTGATTTTTTTAAACCCAGCCCTTCTCCCTGGCGACATCAACTAAAAATTACGAGGAGCCGCGCACAGTACATTCATCATGATTATTTGAACAGCGTGATGGCCACACATGCGATGAAAAATTACACAACAGCAAATGGAAGCTTGTGTAAACTGATTGAACAGCTCCTTTGTTTACAGCCACTCAAGTAAAACAGGCAATCAGTCGCGGGAATAATGCAATAATTAAGTACTCCTAGTTTGTTCTTATCTGGGATCTTCACAAAATAATCATGTCGCAGTCCAACATCAAAGAGGCCTGTTTTCCTTGACCTTATTTGTCTAACAAGCCACTCAGATTTTTTATTTTGTCCTTAAATGAATGAAGTGGGTTGTTATCATGACACACCACAGCACCAAATACATTGAAAAAACACACAAGTGCTCCAGAACGGCTGGTAATATTGGATACGTTTTTTTTTTTAAATTCTTTTTTTTTTTTTTTTTAATCAGAGAAATTGGAGTTTGAACATCACTAGTCAATCTGACAATCAAGGGTTCTTTTATTGTTTTGGCTAATGCTAAATGCTATCATGGGTGACAGTTCAACAGCTGTAAACAAGTCAATGCACTCATCATTATCCAACCATTTTGGTCCGTGTTGGGAGCTATTGGAAGCTGGCTGCGCCGTTTACCTCGCGCCGGTCCAGTCCTACATTGCAACATTGGAATTATGCCACGAGAAAAACTCATCTGTCTCATTTCACGTCTAGCTCTTTTTCTATGTAACTGCACTGAGCTTTGTCCCGCCTGTGAGAATGCACCGAAATCTCAGAGGCCTTGAACACATTAACAGAAATGCTGTTTCACATCTTAAGAGGGCTTAAAAGGGTCAATGGGCTTGAGAGGTTGCCCATATTGTTGGCAGAGAAACACACAAATATAATTTGATTTGTTAAGATGCATCAATCAATATGTGGTGTATCCGTCTCTCTCATGCTACACCCTCCATTATATAGAAATTCATCGAGACAGCATCAGTTTTAAGTCCAACATGTCCAGAGACGGTTTGCCCGCAGTGATGTAATGGCTTCACTTATGTCTTTCCATAATAAAGCAAGAACTCCTTTGTTTTCTCATTATAGGTGTCACAATATGGTCGACAAATGAACTCATCAGGTTGTATTGCCATTAATTAAGTTTAGCTTTCTATGTCAAACACATCTTACTGAAGCAATATTGTACTTAATAATATAATTATAATAGCATATTTGCTGCCAGTTTGAGACACCATTTTGCTGATGGTCATAAAATCTGTAATCTGAATTGTAACTTGTGGCGGGGGGGGAGCGGGACCTTTCTTGTGTTATTTTAATTGCATATTTCTGTTTGGGAACAACAGGTGGTTCTGTAGGGCTCCTCCTACAGCGGCACACCTGTTGGTCATCATGTCATTAGTAAGTTCTCTGTTAAAAGGACTCCCGGCCCAACTACTCAGTGTCGGGTCATTGTTTCTGTTGGTTCGTGTTTGTTCCTTGCTGTCATGTTTTTTTTTTTTTTTGTATTGCTTTCACCTTGTTTTTGCATCTGCCATAGGTTTTTGTTGGTTACTTTGGATTCTTGTTGTTTCCACGTCTTTGTTCTGGATTTAGGTTTCCTCAGTGTTTTGTTAATACAGTTTGTCAAGTTCACCCTGTTCTTCCCTCCTGCCTGCTTTTTGGGGTCCTCCGCCACCACGTTTGTGCCAGTGGAAGATTTAAAAATTGCAACAGCAGTGACACTAACAGCATAAAAATAACACTGGGCTCAGTATAGTAACCAAGTTACTTTTTAAAATCAAGTAATCAGTGAAGCAGTAGTTACTTTTTCAATGTAACTGGCAAACTGTTCAGAAGTGGAAAAAAAAAGGGAAACAATATCATGGCTTCTTCCGTGACTCATGAAATACATGGTGATAGACAGATACCATCAAGTATCTTCTATAAATATGAGTAAAATATGTTCCCAAAATTGAAGGGGGATAAAAATGACAGTTTCGGCTCATAATGCAAACTGAGAGTACTGGGGTGGAAGGCAGACAAACAGACATTGCGGTACGAATACCATGTGGCCCCAAGTAGGAAATAAAATGTGTAGTTCAAATAAAAATAGGAGAAAATTAATTATATTAAGTGAAGTGTCTATTTTTGTGTTGAGCCGATGTCTGCCACTCACAGATGCCTTTATATGGTTCTCTATTCCAATAAAGGAAAAATTTTACCCAACATAAAAAAAGGAGGCTTTGATAATGAGAAGGGCACTCAATTGGCTTGTTCAGAGAGAGGTGATGCATTAGAGGCTCTTGTCGAAATTTGAATCATGCAAACCTTCAGTAGCAAGTCCTAAAATAAAACCATGGAAAGGTGAAATTTGCATGAAACATCTCCATGAACAGCACTTACTGGCCACGTAGTGAAAGACTTGGTAAGTAAAAAAAACATATATATATTGCAAGCATTTTCTTGTTACTTATCCCCTTATTATATTAGTGTAAATGGTATTAGTTGTGCAGACTCCTTTGCACAATCTCATTAGAGGTGTCGCATGGAGTTGTTATCATTTATTTGAACAAAACTAAGACACACACTCACACACGCAACATCAGTGGCATACTCGCAAGTGCTGTTGCATTACCAATAAACATGATGTTGCACTTGTCAATTTGAATTTAACCTCCCGTTGCACCATTTGATTTATTTATTCATGTATAACTTTCAAGTTTTTCATGACTGTTCGAATACTGCTTAAAATGACTTGTAATGAAAGGCAATTCTCTGGGATCTTTTTTCAATTACGGTACAATGTATTCATAATTTAATATAGACCACCCAATAAAATGCAAAAACAAGAATATAATAAATAAAACACAAATATCCAGAGGCCAAATAAATACCAAAAAAATGGAGAGGCCCCACCAAAGGTGCTCGCCAACAGCACTGTGTAGAATGAGCAACAGTTATACCGATGCATTTACTCGTCAGAATAATTTGGCCTGGAAAGGAGAGGAATGAAGGTCAGTCGCAGGAAGACGGAGTACATGTGTGTGAATGAGAGGGACCCAAGTACAAGAGTGAGGTCACAGGGAGAAGAGATAAAGAAGGTGGAGCATTTTAAGTACTTGGGGTCAACTGTCCGAAGCAATGGAGATTGCGGAAAAGAGCTGAAGAAGCGTGTACAGGTAGGCTGGAACGGCTGGAGAAAAGTATCAGGTGTGATGTCCGATACAAGCGTTTCAGCTCAGATGAAAGAAAAGGTGTCTAAAACAGCGGTGAGACCAGCCAAGCTGTTTGGACTGGAGACAGTGCCACTGAAGAAAAGACAGGAGACAGAACTGGAGGTAGCAGAGATGAAGATTTTGAGGTTTTCTTCGGGAGTGACCAGGTTGGATAGGACCAGGAATGACTACATCAGAGGGACAACTCATGTTCGAGGTTTTGGAGAGAAAATCAGAGAGGCTAGACTGAGATGGTTTGGACATGTCCAAAGGAAAGCGGGTGAACATATTGGGAGAAGGATGCTGATTCTTGAACTGCCAGGCAGGAGGCCGAGAGGAAGACCAAAGAGGAGGTTTATGGCTGTAGTGAAAGCGAGCATGAAGGTAGCTAGTGTGAGAGAAGAGGATGCACAAAACACGGGTAGATGGAGGCAACGGATTCGCTGTGGCGACCCCTGAAGGGAAAAACGGAAAGGAAAAGAAGAAGATACATTTATATCTTACTTAAGTATTTCTGTTCAGGATGTGTTTGGGTTTTTTTTTTGTTTGTTTTTTTATTTTTGTATGATGAAGGTGCAAGGTTCTACGAATTTTCTTGTCGGTTACATGGATGTTCATTGCAGATGCTTTTATTTCAATGTAGTGATTATCGCATAATCACTACAGTGTTGCATTGCTATTGTTGGCAAAATATCACAATAACATCCTTTGGAAGCAGCAATTTGGAAGTTGCAGTTCCCCTTTTTTCGATGTAAATGACATTTTAAAAAATGTAAAGAAATACAAACCAAATAATGAATAAATGCTCTCACTGCAACTCCATGATAAAGGTTGGCTTGTGTAACGCAGCTTTGGAGCCTTTCCCCCAATCATTAATCAGACGCTTAAATAATCCCGTACGGCTGTTGGCACTGTGATGGACCCCCATCCCTTTGCACTTTCATTACCTGCCACGGCACACACACAAAGATGCCAACGCACACACACTTTCTGTGCACATTTAATCAACTGGGCAAGTGTACCGTGCGCTGGATAGCCCTCTCTTGATAAAATTATTCTTGAGCTGTAAGCCTATGAGTCAATAGGGGCACCAGGAGCGTAATTAGTAGGAGCACACATGACAGGAGGATGGAGCAGAAAGAAAGGGTAGAACGAAAACTGCAGCAAAGATTGTGCACGAGTACTTGATGGTGATAAATGCGATTAAAAAAAAAGTTAGTGGTGTAAGCCATCTGAGCATGATAACAACCAATCTGTGACATCTGCTGTGTGTGCACTCGCAATGCCTCTACCTCCTGCTGCAGATAAACTAAGATTGAACAATGGCTTGTAACAGCAAAGATCCAACATGCTAAAACCCGGTTGACTACTGGTTCTTGACATGAAGGTCGTAGCAGCGCCTTGTGAGGTACACAGCCAGCACACACCTGCTGCAGCCTGCCAAAGAGAGTAGTGTGACAACATGACATCATGAGCACGAGGGTCTGTGCATGCATGTCGATGTGCGTGCATTTGTGTTGGGGTGCTTTCTCACTTGTCCTTTAATATCTCCTCTGTGATTTTCAGTTCCAGCCATGTCATTAAATGGAGGCATTAAAGATTCACACAGTGTGCGTTCAGAACAATTAATTCATGACCACGTTTAGTGGAAAAAAGATGGATGTGCCAGACCTTCCTTCAGGACTAACGTGAATAGTGTTTATAACTCACAGCAACCCCCAGCTTAGTGTATGTCGGGTCCAAGTAAATATGACAATGGAATATTTGTCTTTTTGAGTTGAGAAAAGAGATCTCAGACCTAATCAATAAATACAGTACATTTTACAAACATAGCCTGTCGAGAACAAATGAGCTCATGAAGACCAGAATCAATCCGGCAAGAGTTCGAGTAGATGTTTTAAGTAACTCTCCAACTCTCCATAGTGATGATCACAATTTAATGGACTTTATGCACGGCAGCTCACGATGTATTTCCGGTGGAAAATACGGAGAGGTACAAGCTTCCGGCTTGCGCTTATTCCAAGAGACCAGGATGCCATCCACGAATATTAAGGTACCAGCGATACGTCATTTATGGTAATCGGCATAATTTAAATAGATTGTGAATATATTTGAAAGAGTTTGATACTATCGCTATGTGTTAGATTAGGTTAGCACGCCTCCATGGCCTGAATGCAGAAATGGTCCGTGCATTTAGTTCACTGAGGTGTTACTGAAGGGGCAAACAAAGACAGCACTGTAGCAGGAAGTTGGCTCTGGTGCGGGTTGCGGTCCTAATTATAAGGGGGGAACCTTTGAACTGTATGACACTTGCATACAACGAATTTATGACATCAGTAAAAGACAGGACGAACAACAGACAACTAAAAAATGTATAGCGATAAAAGAAGGTAGGGGGTGATGTCCCAGAGAGAACAGGGAGATGCCATGCAGAGAGAGGAAAGATGAAAGAACACTGGATAAATGGCAAACGTGATGGGGCAGAAAAAGAATCAGACAGACAGCAGGGAAGCTTGAAGAGAACAGAGACAATAGAAACCTACATTGAGGTGGTGGAGTTCTGATAAGCTTGCCAAAATTGAAAAAAAAAAAGAAAAACAAACCCACAAAGACTACAGAAAAAAATGTAAATATACTGTACATGGCCTCTTATTTGCTTGATATTAGGCATGGGCCAGGCACTGGTTCAAAACTGGTAAAACTTTCCACCAGCAGGAGGAGCTGCTTTTTTTTTTCTTCAGTTTTCAATTAAGCCAAAGTCACACGACGACTCCCCTCTCCCATTGTTGCTACGGGCAGTCAGTAAGGGTACCACGGCTTTGTAGAGGCAAGATATTACATTTACCAGCGTGCCATCCGATTGACAAAGGCAACGTTTATATTTTACTCAAATGCTGCTCTGAAATTATCGGATGCAACCAGCTACAAGAATGTCTGTTTTTTTGGCAGATTTTTCCAACACGATTTTTCTGCCCGTTAATCAACAAAACAAAAAGGGCATTCTTGTGAGCTCATTTCATACTGCCGCAAAGACAGATATGCTCCCCTCCAGAAGCTGTCATTACAGTACCCTACTACTGCAGAAAAGGAAAAAAAATAAATCACCCAACCCCTCACCGGTTTCAACAACAACAGTCATTTTGTTCCAAGACCCTTTTTCTCCCTGGCGAAGATGTTTTTTTTTCTCTGTCTTGAGCTTCCCATCACGAGCTCCTCAAACGTATCCATTTTCAAATGGCTTCTCCCATTTTCCTTTCATCTACTTGTCATACTCACAGGCTGCTCTTGAATGTTCAAATAGTCTCTTACATACTTCTGCCAAGCCACTGTCACTGTGACCGCAAGACTGTCAAATACTCAGCGGAATAAAAATAGCCAATCGGTTGTTGTTGCAATGATGCAAAAAAATAATCAGAATATGAAGAAATTCACAGGTAAGTAGTAAAACGTGTAATTGTTCAACATGTTTTACAAATACTATGAAAGGGGAGGAGAGAAATGTGGAGATGCATTATGGTTTGCTCTGTATAAAATGTGGCATCCTATCTTGCGAGGCAAGACATCGCACAAAGCAGTTTGTGCCATCAAATTGTGCCATCTTGAGACATTGGTGTACTCCAAAGTGCCTTTTCACTGATTCCACTTTGTGCTTGTACATTTTGTGTCTGGATACTGTTGATGAGCCATCTGACATATTGTCTTCATTGCTTTTTGGAGCCGTCATCCGTTTCACTATTACATATGAAGCGTCTGTGTGAACATTTGGGAAATGGTCCTGCAAGCATGTTTTCATGAGCGACTTCATTTGCTGTGCAAACACTGGCTAATCATGTGGTTAAATGACGAGGGAGGGACTTGGTGAGTAAACGTAACGCAAATGAAAAGGTCAAGCTGAGTGAATGCAGCTTTGATGGGAATGCCCACTGGGAAAGAGAGAGAGAGAGAGAGAGAGAGAGAGAGAGAGAGAGTGTGTGTGTGTGGGTGTGTGTGTGTGTGTGCGTGTGTGTGTGTGTGTGTGTGTGTGTGTGTGTGTGTGTGTGTGTGTGTGTGTGTGTGTGTGTGTGTGTGTGTGTGTGCGTGCGTGCGTGCGTGTGCTGCCTGCTCTTTCACCCCTTTGTCACTTCGGGGTCTTTCTATAGTTCCACACAGTTTAATGTGCAATTCATCTTTTTTTCTGGCACTTAAATACCCTTGTATAAAAACTAAAACTGAAACAAAACAACCCCCCCCCAAAAAAAAAGGATGTTTTTGCAAGTTATAGTTGCTTATCTTGAGTGCCAGTATATACTGTCCTCGCAGTCTGACAGATATTTACGCCGAAAATCAAATCGGAGTGACTTCACTGTTGATCTATCATCTGTATTGACTTCAATGGGGCTTTCAAGTATTTTTAGATTGCCTGATGCCATTTGGAATTGTAAAACAGGCATCACAAGACAAGTGGGGAATGTTTTTTTTTGTTTTATTTTGTTGTTTTTTTTTTTGTATACATTGGACTAAGTAGTATGTACAGGTCAGGTACTGGTCAAAAGCATAATGTCACTAGCTAAACATGCACATCTCTCTTCCTTCAATCTCTCTCACCGCTGATATCAACACCCTTTGTCGTGCACACTGCTGATGTTCTCGTGAATGGCACTTCACACTGTGTTTGTGCACAAGGCCAGTGTTACTTTCTCTGCACAACACAGTACATCAGAAAGCAGCCACAATCATGATCACAATATTTTTTTCTGGCACCACGTGATGGTGGAGAAAACATTTTCTGATCGATGAACGGCAGTTGAACATCCATCCACGTACCGCTTCTCCTCACTCGGGTCGCGGGTGCGCTGACTCTTGAATTGCAGCTATTTTTAGCTGTGTGATTGGGTGATAGAATTACAACAAGGTGCAGAACTGCCTTTTTTCACATCTGTCAAGATGTCAAGCTCCAAGTACCTTTATTACAATATTTGGACACCAGATGAGAACGACTGGTCGCATAAATAAGGAACGCATGTCCATTCACCCACTTACTGTAATTCATCTCTACAAACAAAATGACAGCACTCTTCAGATATTGTGCAGAACAAGTTTGCAAGTGTGCATGCGTGTGAGTGTGGGCGTGCGCGTGGGTGGGTTGTGGGGGCGCTGAGAAGCAGAGCCTGAACTAATGTAAAAAACGAAATTCAAAAGTATTCTTGTATTTTGGGGGAACAGTATGTTTCTAGCTTGCTTAAATTAATCAAAGCGGCTCTTTCTCATTCTGCTAGGATGAGTTATCCCAAGGTACTGTTTCTAATACCTCATCAGTCAGGTGTTCCTTTGCTTCAATGGTCTGGTTTCTGTTTTGGTTTTGGTTTTTGTTTTGTTTTGTTTTGCTGCCTTTAGTCTGCTCTTGAATTAAAAACCCAAATTCAAATGAAGTTGGGACATTGTGTAAAAATGTAATGTTCAAACTGGTAAACAGTGTTTTTTTTTTTTTTTACGCTTTTGTTCACTGTAAACACTCACTGTTTTGGAATTTGATGCCTGCAGCCATTCCCTAAAAATTGGGACAGGGGCATGTTTACCACTGTGCTACATCACATTTCCTTTTAACAACACTCAATAAGTGTTTGGGAACTGAAGACATAAATTGTTGAAGCTTTATCAGTGGAATTATTTCCCATTCTTGCTTGTAGTACAACTTCAATTGCTCAACATTCCAAAGTCCGTGTTAAGTTTTGTGCATCATAATGCACCACACATTTTCAATGGGACACAGTAAATACTCACACTCTTATACTACCAAGCCAGGCTGTCTGAATCTTTCTTGGAAACGAGTATTTTCAGGAAACTTACTAATCGACTGCCGTTTCATAAAGAGTGGTAAAAAGCAGAAATGTACTTTTTCCCCTGATGAAAGAAGAGGGTTAAAGCTTTCTTTTGGTAGGTTCCATGCTGATCTAGCTCGAGAATTTACATTTAGTGTCGTCATTTGTATACACCCCAAATTATCTCCATACGTCTATGTAGCACCTATTCCACCTGTGCGGAAAGCATGTGTGAGGCTGGTGAAATCTGACATGGTGTAAATATACAGTATTGGTATTGATACTGCTGTTAAGGTAGAGGCATTCCTACCAATTCTTTTGACCATCGCTTTCTACCCCCCAACCATTGGAAAGATCTATTTTGAATTGTTTTGTACTCATCAAAGTCCAAAATAGCTTTGTGTGTCAATTCAAATCGCCCACACATAGCTCTGTGACTTTCACAGCCTCCACAAAATCTGTTAGTACAACTGCTTGCTTCCATTTTTTTTGCCACTTATTAGGAGTACATGGTTGAAAATGTGAACCGATCCACAGTACGTAATTACTTTTCATTGTTGATTTGATCGTAATGAGCCATTTTATGAGGCTCTTTTATAATAAAACACTAAATGTTTGAGCTATAACAACAGTGAAATA